ATCGCAACACCCATTTGAGTAGAGCTTGAAAGCGTTGTTGCCGTTTTCGTTCTAGAGCACGGCAGCCACAGGCACATTGTAGTTGCCTTTGCAATCTTTAAATTGAAAGGAGGAAAATAATATATTTCAACACAGCTATACTGCAATTACACTTCGAGTATATTGCATTCACATTTGTGCCTCTTATTATCGGCAACATATCAAATAACTGGAAGGATTTAGGCAGAAACAATCGATTACAGTCCTGGAGGGGCTGACTATACGTGCCACATACATATGGCCAGCCACGCATATAGCTACAGAATCTACACCAGGCAACAGTCTATGTGTATGAGCTGTAGTAAGCTGGAGCAAAAAGGAGAGGTGCCGGGATGCTTGATGGTAAGATGCACAACCCCTTGACACGTGGCCTCGGGACTGGAGACCTCGTGAGCCAGAGCCCGAGGGCAGGGCTGAGCTGGCAGCTTGGGAGCCCACATCTGTCCCATGGCCAAGCCCAGGGCCACCAGCTAGGAACACAAAGGGCAGCCCCTTGGGATCCACAGCACACCATCCACCCGCTCCTCCCGGTGAAAACAGAGCAGGAGTTACAGAATCACAGAATGGCAAGGGTTGGAAGAGCCCTCAGGAGATCATCTAGTCCAACCCCCCTGCTCAAGCAGGCTCACCCAGAGCAGGGGGCACAGGACAGCGTCCAGGCGGGGGTTGAAGATCTCCAGAGAAGGAGACTCCACAGCCCCCCTGGGCAGCCTGGGCCAGGGCTCGGGCACCCTCACAGTCAACAAGTTCTTCCTCCCGTTCAACTGGAACCTCTTGTGCTTCAGTTTGTGCCCATGGCCCCTTGTCCTGGCGCTGGGCACCACTGAGAAGAATCTGGCTCCTGTCTTTTAAAAGAAGGGAGCAAGCACTGCCTCCAGCAATTTTTTTTTTTCCACAGGACATGGAAAGAGACAGACCTAGTCCAGGTATGAACACCAGCTCAACCATGCCTCATCCATCTGTGAGCAACCACGCTCAGCGACGTTTGTCCTACAAAGGCGCATGACCCTTCCAGGCTAACAGCTTTGCTGGGCTTTTAGAAGCTGTTCCCCTGCCCAGATTTATTCCATATGAGGGGGACTGCTGCTATATTAAAAGGAAATAATCTACAATTGGAGGCAAGTTCTAAGTCGAGCATCAGTAGAAGTTGGCAGACATCTTGGGAACGATGGGCAGAGGAACACCTAGTTTTCTGATCTGATTTATGCATAACATTTCTGTCTGGCCTTCTCAGGAGCAAACTTTTACAGAAATATTAAGGAAAAGAAGTTTACTACCCAGCCCGATGCCAGAGAAGTTTGTGTGCCTGCAGGATTAGCAGACACACACTTATTTCAGGCTAATGTACCTTCATCACATTTTGGATTTGGGTCCATGCGCTGTGTCCAAACCTACTGTTTCTTCTACATCCTGATCAGCCAAATCTCTGGTTATTAGCTTTTAATTAGAACCCTATCAGTAAGTGATAAGGTCATCAGAGCCCACCAGACTGTGCTGGATTATCAATGCTGAGCCACTGTATTTCAGTTGCAGATAACCTGGGAAACAGCAAGGCGAAAAGCATGATCACTGCAATTATCGTGATCCTGGTTCTCAGTTTACTGAGTTCCCTTCTGAGTTCTGGATTTACCTGCACTAACGCTGTCAGCAATCCCTACCAGACGTTTCTGGGACCCACTGGAGTCTATACCTGGAATTCCTTATGCGGTGAGTAACATGTCCCGTGCTGAGCACTTTCTGCCCACCATAGGGATGGATACTGTATTCTCATTGATTCCAAGATTAAGAAATATAGGTCTATGAAAGGAAACACTTGGAAAAATATTCTCTTCAGCTGGTTTTGGTTTTTAACTGTGTCTGCTGGGACACCTGAGAACTAACTTCTAAGTACCAGTAAAATAGTATTATTTACTTGAATTAGCACCTTCAATCAGCAGGAGCCTGGATTCACCAGCAGCAAAAATGGAAATGAAAAAGCCCCAGCAGGTGTAGCATCATTTCATGCATAAGGCACATCGAGAAGAACAGAGCAAGCTGACAAACAGAAAACTAAACCATAACAGAAAAGGATGCGCTGGATGTGACTACAGTGCAATCTGTAACCTCTTTGAGACCTTATCTCACTATTTTATGGTATTTGTAGCATATTTGTTGCTGGGTTACCCATGTACCAAATTAGGCCTCTGAGGTCTAATGTATAGGATGGACTGCAGCTTCCTTTCTGAAAAGTGTGTTGAATCGAATACATCCACAACTGCATTAGCGTGGGGGGGCAGCAGTTAGGAGGACTGAGTCACAGCAAAATTTATTTCCTTCTCTAAAAAGCACTTTCACAGATCAAAATAAGTTTTAGCATTCCCTAAGCAGAAGAAAATGGTGGAGACGCTGAGCTGTTAGGGAGGTGAACTCTCTCAAACAGCTCCCTGGGGGTGTAACCCCTCCTTCACCCGGTAGTCTTGAGCCTGGCTGCTCCTAACACACCTTGCTACCCTCTTCATCTTGCTATGGTAATGACTTCAGCTCTCACACTCAATTTGTCTCAAGAGGATTACGCATTCCTCTAATGCTAGGTTTGCACGCGGAAAATTTTCTTTAAAGATGTCTGATTACAGAGTACTCCAGCCCTGGCGTTTTGTCCTTTGGAAGCTCTTCAGGTTCAAAGATGCACCGCTTGCAGGGCGGGAGCTTGCCTTCCCTTGAGCACGGTCCTGTCCAGCTCCTGTCCACCAAATTCAGACCTTGGTGGCAAAGGAATCTCATAGATAAAAAGTTTTAATCATAGCAAGTACAGGTGGGGGTGTGAAGCCCACACCTTTTTCTCCAGCTGTGGCTAACGCAGCATATAAGGATGCTGAAACAGCTGTGGATGCCTTGAAACACAATAAGAAAAGTGAGCAAAAGCCTAGACTAGACAAATATTCAGCTTTTGAGACACCCAGATCGTTGTCTTACCACATGAGAAAGTTCCTTTCCCAAGCCCAGCGGCAGTTACGCAGCCTGAATCTCCCAGCTTTGACCTGAAATGAAAGGCCCACGGGCTTGCCAAAATAAATATTAGTGAGAAAGTAAAGCCCCATGTTGACTGCGGATTGTGGTTACTTTTTACAGCCCCGTAAGTGCTATGACCTGGAAGTCTGTTTTGCCACGGGCATATTTTTATGAAAAATATGCATCATTTGAGGCGTGAGTGTATCTTGAAGGTTTCTCATTCTCCCACCAGATGACCTGAAATTCCAGTGTCCTCCCGCAAAAACCTGAACCTGTTTCGGAGGGACCATCTGTAGGACAGTGAACCCCGCGGGAAGGAAGAGAGATCTTCTCACTGCTGTTCAGAGCTTATGCCTCTGTTAGCACTATGAAAGCAGAGATGTAAAGTATTATTTACCTAAATTTCAAAGTAACCGAACTCCGCTTATATTCAGAAGGCAATAGGAAATAGATACAGATCTAATATGACATCTCATTTTGGCTCCTCACAGAGTTGTTGAGTAATTCAGGTTGGAAAGAACGTGAGGTCTAAGCTCTCAAGCAAACCTGGGCCAACCCTGAACGCAGACCAGGTTGCTCAGGGTTTTATCCAGCTGTGATACCGCACATCCCACAAATTTGGGCTCATATCAAACAGGCGTTCTGCAAATCACCCAAGCACTGAAGTCAATGAAAAAAAATTGCATTAAATGGCCTTATCTAAGAATAATCAGTGAGAATCTATTAATTTTAGCAGAAGATACAGTTACCAACTTCAAAACACCTGGCAGATACTATTAGGTGGGACAAAAATTCTTTAAACGCCCTCACATTTTACCAATGGAAAATATTAGATTAATCTTTGCCCTAGACCACTCCTAACCAATTTAAGCAGACTGTTTAGAAGTCTAACCAATTTAAGTAGACTATTTAGAAGTAGCTACATAAATAATACGACAGTTCCACCTCTAACGTTTGTATTTATATTTTCTAGGAATCTTCATACTTACAGCCATGATACTTTTTCCTGTGAACATAGAAGAAAACAGCCTGTCTGTACTATTGGCCCAGGGGTGTTTTTCTGTTCGGGAGACACATATCAAATCTGCGCACACTTACGGATATTCATATTGGATCATGCTGCTCACCATTTTTCTGAACATTGCCTCTATCATCATCATCTATTTCTACGACCATGCAAGATATTCTAAGAAGAAAGAACAGGAAAGACCCATTGAAAATGCACCCAAAGATGTCATTCTGTTTTAAGGATGCCACTGAAAAAAAGGGTATAAAGGAAAAATGACTCCTTAATGTAGACAATCATGGCTGATCATTTCCATTCAAATTGAAACTGCGGGTATAGTTCGATTAACAAAATAGCCTATTATGTCTTCAAAGCAATTTGATATTATCTTTATGTTAGGTATTAGTGTAATACATACTGGTTTTCATTAGTAAAACAGTGCTGCCTAAACACCTCCGAGTAGATACGGACCGCAGTCCATGATGCCAGCACCGTCCTGTAGGAACGGACCTCGTGCACCTTGCAGCTCTGCTCTTCCCCAGAGGGATCGCTGTGAAAACACACTCCTGGAAGGGTTCCTCCTCTCCGTGCCACCACCGTCGCCTTTCCAAGAGGACTGCTGCCCTCTTGCCCACGCAGCACAGAGGGGCTGGTTCCCACCTCCGCTTTCTGGATTTTTCCGGACCACGGGACAGACCTGCGTTGGCCACCCCAGCTTTCCACAGTGGTGCACCAACATCAGCACCTATGAATGGATTTCTGCTTCCCCCTTTGGGTCCGAATGGGAAGATCAGAGATGTTTTGGTTGTGTCTGTAATTTGGGGTCTCAAGAGGCAGGTGCAAACACCAGGAACCCTGGGGCTGATGAGAAGTGGTAACTAAGGTACCGGTGCTTCATCTTGTCCTGCAGTTCTTACCGCTGTCCTCTCCCTGCTCAGGGATCTTCTCCCGTGGGTCCCTATGGCCCTGCCGCATTGACCGCGGGCAGGCTTGCCAGCTCCTGTTCATGAACAGGAGCATGATCACTTGGACAAACAAGCTTGTGGTCAGTTCCCAGCACATCAAACCTCCCAACAGCAACAGCACTGCCCCTACCCGTGCTTCCTTTGCTCGGTGCTTTCGTCCATGGCCAGGGTGGCAGGCGGGGCAGCAGTAGCAAGAGGATGGGCCATGGCCAACAGAAGACAGCATAGGAGCCCAGTATCTGCAAGTTATTTATTTGTAGAAACATGAGCAAAATCCTGTTTCAGGCTATTTATAGACCCTTGACTACTGTCGACAGCAAACGGTGAAGCCTCACCTTGAGCGGGTACGGCCGTCCGCTTTCCCACCCGCTACGCCCGACTGTCATCTTCCCCTGACAAAAAACCCAAATAGCAGCTTTAGTAGTGACGACTCATGGCCAGCCCCATCCCTGTGCCCGCTTTAATTAGTATTTGATACGCACACAAAGACACAATACCGTAGGACTGCGCAGAAGTGGGGAGCTCCCGTCCCGTCCCGTGCCCCCAAGGGAAGGTCAGCAGCCGAATGTGACCTTGCGACAGACGCCTTCGTGTGAAATCATGCTCAGTGCAGACATCCCGGGAGAGGTGCACCATGCAAAACAGTGGTCAGCACCTTCTGCTCCTTCGCTCCTTGCCTCTGCAGCTGGGCAAGCAATTTTTTCATCGCATCGCTCTCCTTTGCGGTATGATTTTCACAGTCGCGCTCGATAGCTGCCCGACGGCGCAAGGGATGCTCGCCGAGAACAAAAAGCATTTCTGAAGAGGGGATGAGAAGAGGCGAGAGGTGACTTCTCACTATTTATGTCAAAAAAATAAAGTTTCAGGATAAAAGTGCCCAATACTTTATGCAGCTGTGCTCTTCCAAAGGAATGAAAGCAGAGGGCTTTTCCATCCTGCTTTAAGCATTTAACTAAAAGTATGATGGGGGGGGGGAATAAAAGAGGGTTTTTCTAAGACTTGAGGGGCGGCATAGGTCAACAAAATAAGAGATGTCTGCTCTCCGCTGCTGACAAGGACCATGCCTGGGACTGCTTCTCGGTGCCGTAAACATTGCAGTCAAACTGTCGGATACCGCGCGCCCGCGAGCGAAGCGGGGGGGAAGCCAAACATTTGCCAGTTTTGCTTTGGCTGCAAAAATTTTCACACAGTTTCAGCACTCATCTGTCACCGTTGTGCTCGGCCAGCATCCATCACGCAATACAATTACACTTACATCAGGCGCTCGCTCGCGGAGAAATAAAGTCGTCGTAATAGAGTAACACCGGAGGAGCAGGGGCTCCGGCTTTGCAAAGCAGCGGCTTACCATTGCTTGGGCGTTTCTATTGCACTGAAGTACTAATTCCTGTGGAAGAGCTGGGGGGGGAAAAAAAAAAAAAAAAATTAAATTCCCACTTTCATGTGCTTGTTTGAACCACCTAGCCTTGTTAAAAATCAATCTGGAAGTCTCAAAGGACCTTATGCTCGCCTGCCGACACGTATGGCTGCGAAGCAGCAGAGGCAGGCGTCAGCAGAAAGTCACCGGGCAGCGAGAGCTCTACCTGCTTTGGTGGGAACTACGGCTCAAAATTATTACAGCACCAGAAAAAAAAAAAAAAAAAGATCAAATTTAAAGAGTAGTTAAAGTTGTAGCTGGCTAACAAAGCTACCCTAATATTCCTAGTCTGAATATTTTCTTTCGAATCAAAGACAAGACGTCCCTTCTCAAGCTCAAGATGACCTTCTCTGCCCTGCGCCACAAACTTTCTGCTTCATGCAACGGTGTTGGCTCAGCAGATGCCGGTGGAGGTTTAGTAGCCAGCGGCGAGGCCGAGGGAGGCGGCAGGCGCCCCCGGGACCCGACCCCGGGGGGCCACTCGCATCCCCATGGGGATGAAGTCGCCCAACCTCGGCCAGGCTGCGGGGGAAGCATGGGGAGAGCAACTGCGAGAGGCAAGCGATGCAAGGCAAGGAGGAGAGGGGAAGGCGGAAAATCACCGCAAACCCTGCAAAGCGCTGTGTGCCATGGGGACCATTATATTTTATAATAAGGCCACGAAAAGGCCAGTTATTGGGTAAGTGCCTGGATTTGAAGCACCTGCTCCAAGTTAAATTACAAAATATGAGAGCTGTGGAATTACCCATCTCCCGAGAAGGGAGCAGCCTGCCCAGGAGCCATCCAGGATGGGGCTGGCCCTGGCAGGCAAATATTTGGGATGAGCAAACAGGAAGCCAAAGGGTTCAAGTATCCATTCCCTGAATCAAAAGCAAAAGAAGGGATTGTGCATCTGGGCTACAGCTGCTTCTACCAGCGGAAGAAGAAAAAGAAAAAGAAAAGAAAAAAAAGGATGCAACATAATCCAACCATGTATTTAGCTTTTAGGATATCAAAAAGGAATTGGTCTGTCTCTTGCCTACCAGACAGCCTTTGAAATGAATGGAGCTGTGTTCAGTACACTTATCCTCTTAATGAGGACAAATTCTGGCAGTTTACCCTTAGGTAAAAAGGAAAAAAAGCTTGCACTGTCAGCTTGATGCACTCTTGAAAGAAAAATCAAGCTCCCATCTTATCTAAACCCGGGGTAATTTTACACATTCATCACTTGCCGGTAGTTGAAGCACGTTGCTTTTCACCAGGAGCTGTGTCTGATCAGGTCAAGGGAAGGATCCGGGCTGAAACAAGCTGAAAGATTAATCCTCCCTCCAGCAGCTGAGCTCCCAGCCCCGAGCTCACTGGGGCAGGATGCGTGCATCGTGCTCCCTGGCCTTGGCACCTCGGGGCTGAAGGTGGCTTGGAAACCCAGCAAACGGAGCTGGAGGCCTGCACCGGCATGCAATTTTGGGCAGCAGCACCCACCACGCGCAGCGGCGGAGAGCTGAGCCCTGCAGCCGGGCATTCCCAGCACCCTTGGCACTGCACGCACGGAGCCGAGCGGGATGAGTCCTGCCCTCTCTGCACTCCCCGTTTGCAGCGCGCTCAGGAACCCGTGACTCACTGCAGCGATTGCAAAGCCCTGCCAGGCGTTTGGCAGCTGGAGAGGAACAAGAGGAGGATTATCCGGCAAGGCAGCCAGCAGCTCCCCTCTGCTCCCCCCGCCGATGGGCCTAGGATGGCTCTTTTCCTTCTTTTTCCCCGAAGAAGAAATCCAGGGCAGCTCCCCATTCCCAATCCATGCTGAGCCATCCGTAACGGTTGCTCTGACTAAATAAGTGACTTCTTTTGCTCTGGCTAAATAAGTCACTTGGATGCTTCTACTAAAGCGATCATGATGGAACTAACATCTTTTCAAATAATTATATCAAGCATTATCTGATAATTATTTGATGTATATATTTATATAAAAATTTAGACATTATTTATATTGATTTATAGATACAATATATATTTATATATTATATATTATTTATATTGATTTGTAATTATTAGATAATTCGTACCTCTGAAGCTCTGGTTCCTATTTATGCAAGATCTGTTTTAGCTTTATGGTTCGCTTGAAAAGTTTCCCACCGAACAAAAGCCAGACCGAATCCAGCAACTCTAGAAATGCTGCATGAAGGCAGCTTTTCCTCTGAAAACACAGAAGATCCTCAATGCCCGCTAACTTATCAGTTACCTTAATGTTTAGCAGCAGCTGAAAACATTTAATAAGACACACTGCAAACCTCACAGCAGGCAAATGCAATCGGTTTTGATGCAGGCATACCTACTTGACAGCACGGCAGAAGCTAGTTAGCTTCCCAATTACAGCAAAAAGAGCCAGCGCAGCGTTGCCGTTACCCCCAGGCAAAGAGGCGCAGTCAATAAAACCAATCCCTGTCCCCCAGGAGCGATTCTGCTAAAGAGTCATCCAGCTCCTGCTATTTAAAAATCTCTGCTGGGAGGAGAACTGCCAGAATTAACAATCGATGTTCTAAATCAAGCGCGGTATCGCCGACGCAGTCATGATTTTTATTACAGGAGTATCGGAGAATTAAAAATAAATATTACTCTTACAGCCTTGTGGCAGGCTTGGATGGTGGATGGAGGAGAGCCCGAAGCTGGGATCACCATGGCCAGCGCGGCAGTGTCCCCCGCCCCGTGCCAGTAAGCTTTTGTCACGTTGACTGGGTGCAAAATGCAGGGTTGCAGCTTTTTCTCCAAGTCTCCTTTCTTTAAGTGGGACAGCTACTGAAACGTAAGGCAGCTCAAGGAATTATGGCATGAAAACATACAGGAGAGCTTTAGACTGGCACACACGCAAGAGTTTTATTCTTGCAAT